TCTGGTTCATTACTGTATCACCAGCACAAAGGACTGCTTGATATAAAATGTGTGGTCATATAATTTTTTGTTTGAATGGGTAATCAGAGACTTCTAGCTCTAGACAAACCACAGTAATAAGAATTTGCCCTCACCCTTGAAACAATTAAAATAATCTGAAAAAATTACTTGAAAGAATAGTTTCATTGGACAGCAGTTATCACTAGATACTTATCAGAATAATACCAGGGACAAACAGGTTTATTTCATAATGATAAAGGGTTCAGTCATTAGAGGACATATTAAATCTTCAACACTTATATATTTAGTAATATAGCTGCAAAATGCACAAAGTAAAAACAGGTAAAATTGATAAATAAATCCAACATTTCAGTGAAGAATTAAAGTAACAGGATAAGGAGACAGAAAATCAGCAAGAGTATAGACAGAGTGAACAACATTATCAAACAACTTGTTCCTAATTGACAATTATAGAACATTCCACCCAACAGAGCATTCCTTATTTTTAAGAGCACACAGCCCATTTACCACATTAGGCCATAAAACAAGTCTGTACATTTAACAGGATTCAAATGCAACAAAGAATGTTCTCAGATCACAATGGAACTAATTAATATTAGAATTCCACAACAGAAAGATATCTGGTAAATCCCCAAATATCTGCAAACTAAGTAACATACTTATAAATAAACCATAGGTTAAAAAAGAAACCAAGGGCTGGCCCAGTGGCGCTTTGCTTAAGAGCTGGCTTGGGACGCCAGAGGGCCCCAGTTCGGATCCCACATATGAGGGCCAGTGACACCACCCTCTACAGCTAAGATGCTGAACAACAGCTCAACCTAGAGCTGGGCTGCCATGAGTCGCTGGCGACAGCATAGGCTGCAGCCCCTGCTGTAGTGGGTTGCCATGGGCTACCGTGTGTAGCCAGCAGCCAGCGTGAGCAGCTGTCCAGAAGCCGGTGACTGATCTGCCTTGCCTGGGAAGAGTGCAATGATGGTGCCAACTTGGACCAGTGAAGTGATGTCCTCCACAACTAGATTGAAGAACAAAAGGACAGCAACTTGTCTGTTCCCCTTCCCTCAATTCCCAGCACTGTTCCCATCCCCCAATTCCCCAAGAAAAATCTTAAAAAGAAAAAAGAAAAAGAAAAAAGAAACCAAAAGAAAAAT